GGGGCCGGGAAACCTGGAGAGCACAGAGGCAGCGACCGAGGAGGGGCAGGGGGCAGAGGACGTGCCAAGGGGACAGGCTCCCTTAGCCTCCCCAGGAGCAGCTTCCATTCGGATGTCAGTGGTGGGCTGAGTGTCCAGCCTGGGAGACCCTGTGGGGACAGAGTTTGTCCCTGAGACAAAGCAGAGGGACCTGAGAATTCACAGGCAGGAGGAAGGAGCAGCAGCAACAGCAGCCACTGGGCCGGAGGACAAAGACCCGGCGCCTCTGTGGACGCAGAAACGGAGAGGAGGGGGCACCAGGGAACTAAGGGGGAACCCTCAGGCCCCACACCAACGTCCCCTTCCAGGAGGGGCCCCTCAGTCGGCAGGACTCCGGGTCCCCCTGCCCTCCCCTCTTCCTGGGGAGACTCAGGCTGGGAGCTCTGTGAGGGTGGGTCCGCTCCTTGTTGGCCTCCTGGGCTCATCCTGCTGGAGAGGCCAGGGCTCTGTGCTCCTCCGAGCTCCAGGGCACAGGGCCAGCGGCCTGGAGTGTGGGGGTGTGGTTGATTGGAGCAGCCTGAGACCTTGAGGCTAAGCCCAGTTCTGGGGTTCAGATTGAGTAATTTTTTTGGGCACACATCCAGCTTTTACCAGGAAGAAAGCTGGTATTTTGGTGCCCATCTGTCTCACCTGCCTGTCAGTTGTTTTAGAACTGATGTTAGGACACTTGGGGATGTTTATACACAGCATTTTAGGTTCCTATCTGTGATTTTCTACCTCCTGAGATTTCCCCCTTCATTTTCAATGAGCATGGTTGCCCTGGGTTCTTCCCTGGCGCTGCTGACCAGGAAAAAACGACTTTCTACCAAAGTTTGAGTTTCCCCCACAAGTCTGTGTCTGCTCTGAGTAGGCAATCGTAAACAGGAAACATCTCTTGCAACAGGAAACATCTCTTGCTGGCTGCTCGAGGCTCACTTTATCTCCAGACTCACCCAGCTTTTGTTCTCTGAAAGCGATTCCTTAGGTAAGAGCTCACTCCGCAGATCAGAAGCAGAGCTCTCCATCCTCACTGGAAAGACGCAGACCAGCCCTCCCACTCCCAATCCCAGCCCTGCTTCTGGCTTCTTAGACCCCAGTGGTTCCTGTGCCCTGGAGCCCATGCCCACCATGGAAGGGAGATGCTACTGTGCCCTTAACTGTATACCGGTTAAGAGACACACAAGCCAGGCTAGGTACACTTTGTATTTCTGTGCTTGCTAGAGCACGAACACACATCCACTTAGAGTGGGCTTGTTTCATAAACAAAATAAAAGAACAAATAATATGCCTAGAAAAAAAGACATGGTTTATTGTGGAATTTCAGTTGGGGTTAATACTTCAAAATCATTTATACATAGGAGACATAAAAATTGTTGCTGAAAAGCTTAAGAATATAGTTTTCTTGTTGAAGGAGGAGGTTGGGTTATGATTGTTGAATCTGGTTTTTGTTTCAAGGACTTATTTACGCAGCAACTCTTTCCAAGGGATTTGGGCCAAGGCCTTCCTTCTGCCTCCTTCCGGCTCTAAATTCCCTGTGCCTGTAACAAAGGAAGAAAGGGCACCCAGCTGTGTATAGGTGAGAGTTTGGGCCATGTTTTTACAAGGTTGATTACATTCCTTTTATTTCAGCTTGAAGAATGCCCTTTAGCGCTTCTAAGGCAGTTCTAGTGGCGATGAGCTCTCTGCTTCCCTCTGGATGGGTCTTTCTCCTCTAATTCTATAGGACAGCTTTGCTGAGTGCTAACCTTCGTTAATAATTATTTTCTTTCAATATTTTCAATATATCATCCACTCTCTGTTGACCTGCAAAGTGTCTGTTGAGCAATTTGCTGATAGTCTTGTGGGGGCTCCGTTGTATGTGACATAGTTTCTTTTTCTTTGTTGAACTTCTAATTTTGTTCATGCATCTTTTTCTAATTTAATTTTGTAGTTTGTATGTTCTTGTTTTGTTTCCTGAACAGCAAACACTTCCTTGAAATGCTGCTCAAATTTCGCCTCCAGTCTAATTCCCCAGCAAAAGTTATTGCACTGAAAAAAGAAAAAGACAAAAATAATGACACTTATTCTTAGTGTCATTAGACACCTTGCAATTTGAGTATGATCAGAACTCTTGCCTAAAACACCTAAATTACATTAACCATGTTAAGACTACAAACTCATGTGGCTAAGAGTAATTTTTCTGTCCTAAGTGAATAATTATTTACTATTAACTAGGCAAAAATGAAAAATGATTACTGTACCTGAGGACTTTTACTCATTTGGTTTGGGTGGTTTACTTTAGTGATAATTAGAAAAGTAATCTAAGGTCTGTAACAATCAGATATTATAGATGTCTAAGTACAATCAGTGATCTTCCTTTCATGTTGTCACTTCTGTTTTTCTCTGGTGACTCCTGTTAACTATATGTTCATTTACATGAAAGGAACCTGGAGTTTCAAATTTCTGAGAAGTTGGACTGAGATATTTCGGGAGAGATAAGAAGCACAATATAACTTTAGGAAGCAATTCTCTTATCCGTTTGTTTGGAGCAGGGAGAACACAGGGTCCTCAATGGACACCTCTTACCTTTGAGGAGAGGAATGAACTCTCAGGGGCCTGAAGTTTTCATTGTAGGGACACCTAGTGACTTACTGTGATGTACTATCTTGAGTTTTAAAAGTCACTCACTTTTAGATCCCTTGCTTGTCCAGCCTTGTGATAGGATGAGAAAGACTATAAAATTTCCCTGCACCAAAAACTGAGGGCAGAGCGACTCAATGGAAAGAAAATGGAATGGAAACACGGGGAGCCACTTACCGTTTTAGATGCCCGGTGGACCTGAAAGATGTGGCGCACGGCCTGAACAAACCCCTCCACTTTCGGGTAACCCCGCTCACTTAACTTCTTCTTAATTTCATTCAACATCAAAAGATCTTTCATGCACTCAACAGTCTCTAAATTCTGGTGGAAAAAAAATATTGAGAGAATTTCTGACACAGTGCAATATCTGCCTTCTGTGAATTCCTGTGAGATCCAGCCGAAATCTAAGGTAAAGATAACGGCAGCTCCTGCCCTCCCTCCTGTGGGCTGCAGACCCCAGATCCCATGAGAGCCTGTGGCAAGGCCGGGCAACGCAGCGGCGGCCTGGAATCGTGGCCTGCTGCTACTCACCAAACAGCCAGGTGGAACCGCCTCCTTGCTCTCCGAATGGCAGTAGAGCTCCAGCAGGAGGAAGTCACACTTCTGCAAGAGAAGGAAGACATGAATGAACAGCAGCTTGGAGAGGACGAGCCCAGGTGTGCGTCCAGGCAGAGGCGTGGCCACACCGGTTTCCCAGAAGTTTCCTCAAACAGCTATGGCTCCAGGAAATAGACATGAAAAGGCTGAGCTTCTTTTCTGAAAACAGGTTCTGGTGAGTTGTCAGCATGGTTGAGACACCCTTTAGAACCCTACCCCTCACCCACTGACTGTTGACTTCTCACATATAAGCAGAAAGGAGAGACCCTGGGGTTTGAATTTGACTCACCAGCTGCTCCTCGGGCCCCATCTGCCTCGCCAGGACCTCAGATTCCCTGAGACACTGCTGACTTCTTGAGGACGCCTTCATCCTGCAGAAGGTGCAACTCCACGGGCTCCTGAGAGGTCGGGCATGAGTGAGCAAGGCAAAGCCCCAGAAACAGCCACTGTTCCTATGGCTGCCACTGTCCTGCTTTCAGGAATGGCCAATGGGCACAGCCGGGGGATGAAGGGGACACTCCTCAGAGACTCCAAGACCCCCAGGTGGGGTCTGAGCCAATGACCTTCCTCCCATCAAGGGTAGCAGCAGGGGGTGAGTGGGTGGAGGGTGGTGTCAGGGTGAGTAGTAGGCTCTCCTTTCTCTGTCTGAGCAGCTGTGAGCACAAGGAGCCCTGCCCACCACGCCCGAGTGTTGGAGACTGGGCCTTAACCCCTCAGTGCCTTGGGCCTCAGTTAATCAGTGGCAAAAAGTCATGTGTTTCCTGACATTTCTGAATAAGCACAGAACATAAGCCACTAGCATTTCCACTCCTATGAATAGGAGTCTGTCCTGAGAAAGTTCTGGAAAGGACAGTAGTGGTATGTAGGCAAAGGACCCATCCAGGGACCTCAGCCTCCCAGAGGAGAGAGAACATTATTCTCCAGCTGACAGCATCTTTAGACAGCTCCCCGGACCATACTGCTGGACCCTGTACCTCTGACCCTGCCCTTTCTCCATCAGGACACAAGGAGAAACTCTCCTGGGGGATTTGCATGGCAGGAGGAAAATCCCTAAAAGGGGAGGGGGTTGTATCTCACAAACCTCTTAGGTTCCACAGGTGGGAGGTGACAGTCCCCATGGAAGAATTTCAAACAAGTATCACAGCAGAAGAGATTTTCTCCATACTGGCAGATCTCACATATGTCTGAATTTCCCAGCTAGAAGGTAAAACAGTGTGTTTCCAGTGAGACCCCTAAAGGCCACCACTATGAGAATTTAAAATGCACAACCTTTTGTGAACCTGGAAGAACACATACGAATCAGGAACTATCAGAAACTATATTTGCCCATGGTTGCTTTCCTTCTGCCTTCTGAGAGAATCGAGACAGTCTGAGAACATCTTGGGGGTAGAAGCATCCTGTCTATCCCATGGTCTATTACAGAAGTTTCTATTCTCTTGACCACTCAGGTGACAAAACGAGATTGGCTTGGGGACAGGCCCGCCCACTGATGAGTGCTGGGTGGAGGGAGAGGTCCCCCGGGGAGCAGGAGGCAGGGATGACAGCGTCCAGCTTTCTCTGCCACGGCCACTCGTGCTCCCTGCAGACGCGGGTGGTCTCTGCGCTCGCTCTCCTGGGCTGCTCCCTCAGCCTCCGCTCTGTCTGTTTCTATTCCCCTCCTTCCCCTCCAGCGTGTAGACAGAATCCCCTGGTCTCCACCAAACTCTCTCCAAGCTGCAGCTCCAGCGCTGTCTCCAGCTCCCAGGCGTGCAGCCTGCCTTCTGCATTCGTGCACATCCCTGCGCTCACCAGCATCCTCCGGGCCCTTAAGGCACACCCCAAACTCATCCAGTCACAGCCGTGTGTCCTCCTGTCCCCACACCACTACGTGTTCTTTCCTGGTGCTGCCATCTCATAAAACAAATATATACCTTCCCCCGCAAACCTGAGAATCCACCCTGGTTCTATCCTCTCGCTCGCGTCCCAAATCCTATCTGTCCTCACTCCTCACACGGATTGTTAAACTTCTTTTGTTAGTTCCATTGTGTACCGGGTGCCGAGACCCTGATGAATGGTTGGTTCCACTCTGATACACAGAGAGAAGTGTTCTGTTTCTCAGTCTGTGTTATATCTCGGTTAACAGCCCACAAAGATCAGAAATGTCCTTCTGGAAGGAAATGGGCAGAGTAATTTGGAGCACTTTATTTTTGTTTGTGTAGGAAGTAATAAAAGATGAAAAGTTACTAATTAACAATTATTTTAAATACTGTTATGGACTTTTGGGTGAAAATTCTGTGCTGGGCAAATTTAGATTCTGGTTATTTCTTTTGCTTATAAAATTGGCCATATATGAGAAAGATCAAAACAGAGAAACATCTGGCCAAGAGGTCCCAATCAATGTTCTGGAAGACTCCTGAACCACATCCCCAGTGGGGGCTGAGGCTGCTCTAGTGTGGAGGCCTGGGGCCGTGTTCCTCCTCACTGTTGGGACTCCAGAAAGTGGTGGCCTCTGCCTAGAAGAACAAGGAAATAACAGATGTAGCCAGTACGTAAGAACCTTCCATCCTAATCTGCAATCCAGTCCAGGGCCCTTTCTCTTTGGCTCTTTGTTTCTTAGCCCAGCCGCACATTTGAATTGCCTGAGGAGAGCATATAGAATAAATTCCTGGTGCCAACATCAGAGATTCTGAATCAACTGGCCCGGTTTGAGGCACAGGCATTGGTATTCTCCTTAAGTCATAGGAGGAATAACTTGTGTATCAAAATCATCTGAAGACATTTTAACAATTCTAATGTCCAAGTCATACTCAGAATGATTAAATGGAAATTTTCCTAGAGTGGGATTCAGGCTATGTTATTTTTCAAAGGTCATCAGGTGATTCCAGTGGGCAACCTGAGTTAAGATTTAGCCTGAGCGCCCGGCTGGGCGTGGTTCAGCGGTTGAGCATCGACCTAGGATCCAGGCGATTGGGGTTAGATTCCCGGTCAGGGCACATGCCCAGTTGCGGGCTCGATCAATGACTCTCTCATCATTGATGTTTCTGTCTCTCTCCCCCTCCTTTCCTCTCTCTGAAATCAATAAAGATATATTAAAAAAAAAAAAAAAAAAAAGATTTAGCCTGAGCAAGTGTGGTTATTAATGCATGAGGACATTAGAAGGCAGTGTTGGATTGGCCTCTAATATCTACCCTAGGAAAGACTATTAACAGGAGTGATGGTATTCTTGCTGGAACAGTTGCCTTCTCCTTCCCACCGACTCCTGACCATGGGTAGTGTGACATGACCCTCTGGGTCTCCATCTATTGTTCAAGGTTCTGGGAACCATACGATACCCCAAGGATAGCTCCACCATGTCCTGTAGCTCTTCTTGGCACTACCCCAAAGTTAAAATGAATCCAAGGTCCTTGGTGCTTCAATTCTTTTTCCAGAAGGCCATCCTCAACTCCCTTCCATCCAAATCCCAAGATGGCACCTGGCTGACTTTTCACAGGAAATTGACTTCCAGGTGCTACACTAACATTGCTTTTGTACGTTCAGTACAATGGCTTGGCTTCCTTCCCTTCAAGCAGCCTCAGCTTTTATCTCTACCCAGGGCAGAGAAATCATAGACAAGTGTGATCCACTGGAAAATGACCCGGGAAATGTCATGTCACTGCCTGCCTCCCTGGATAGCCTAGAATCCCTGCTCCCCAGTAGTTATTCCTCCATGGTAGACAATGAAGTTGAAACAATTCTTAAGGTCAGGGACATTACTTCAATCTTCTTCAATGGACACTGAGCATTTCTTATGCACTCAATAGTTGTATGTTGAATGAGTAAATAAATGAGTATTGCTTCATTTAGGAAAGGGGATTACTTGCTATCTCTGAAGCTAATATTAGCATACAATAAATGATTGTTTTGGCTGAGTATTTCAGGTTATTTGACACATAGCAGCTGTCACCAGAAAGTATAAGTGGCCCTCATCAGGAGACAGGAAGCTGTCATGGGGTGCCAAGTACGACACTGAAATTTCCAAAAACTTCAGGCTCCATCAGCAAAAGAAGTCCTTGGAGGCACAGAAGACCCACCGAGGTAGTAATGAGTCCTGAGATCTGCCATTTTGGGCCACTTCAGTTCTTGATCAAGGAGACAGAAAATATGGGGGCAATTGAACCTTGTTGCTGCAAAGTGTTGCACCCATGAAAAAAGATAGAACCTGGGGGTTGGGAGCTGCTTGCTCTTTTAGGTCATCTAGATTCAGTGAGCACAGAGCATGGTGGAGACACTGCTCTTTGAAGCAGTCAGTGAATAAAGTACGTTAAAAATATTTTATCTTCAGTAAACCCAGTGGATGAAATGGCCCAAGGACTGACAGTTCCAAAGACCCAGAACATCAGATAATGAAAAGGCCTGGACCTCACATTTCTAGCGTTAGCGATGTGCAACCTAATGTAGAATTCTGTGAAAGTCTTGGCTGGTGTTTCTACCTGATGTTCATGAGAGTGACACTTCTCACCTTCCCCTCCTTCTTAAGTCCTCATTCATACTCAGTAGTGAAAAACTATCACCTTATCCTGAATCTGCACTGCACATTGTGTATTTTGTTTGCTGCCTCCATAGTTTTCTTCCACAGAGGGAGAAACACTTTCCTAGGTAGACAGGAGGCCCGCACAGCCCTGGAGGTGGAGCCACAGGGGTGGCATCCAAGTAAACAATTTCCCAGGTCGACTCCTCATGTGAGATACATTGATCTCCCAAGGGCTCCCTCCCTAACAACACCATCCTCGTGAAGGGCAAATAATTTCCACTTGAGGAAGAGAAGAAAATGTTAAAAATAGGAACAAAATCGGATTGAGTTGAAGGTGACCCTGTGAACTTATTAAGAAATTTTCTAATGTATTTCATAATCACGTTTGCTTTACATTTGACACTCTTACAACATCTGCAGGTATAGCTGAAACTCTTCTATGAGGCTATTTTGATGGCTCCTTATTATCCCAGCCTCCAATGGTTTACCATTCCCACATGTCTTTGCATACAACCCAGTGTTCAAAGTAGCATCTCTGAAGGCACATACAAAAAACACAAAAACAAAAACAAAAAAATGGCTGGGGGCGTAGGAAAGGAAACTTAATGATAACCAATTGAGAAACCATAAAAAGATGCTGTTCATATAAAATCAGTTATATAATAAGAACTAGTATAAACTAATAATCACCTTTTTCTTCTTGCCACCTTTTCCTGGAAGTGTACGTATTATTCCTGCCTGAAAGATAAAGAGATCCACGTATACAGTTAGTCTGCGTTTTTGGTTTGTGAGTCTGACATTTCCAACCTCCTTGTAAATATTTCTTCTTGGATGCCCTGCTGTCAGCTCAAACCAAGGTGTCTAAATGAGACACCATCTCCCTCTCCTCACCTGTACTTATTCTACAATTCATCAACAGTATCCAGAAAATCACCTTTAGAACCTATTGCCCTGCTCTTTTGCTTTTCCCATAAGCTTTCAGAGCTTCACAATCTTTTTGACATCTCTCACTCCTTTCTATTCCCACTAGTGCCACTCAAGCTATGTCCTCACAGAAGGGCTATTCAATCAACACTCACGTATTCCACACCTACAGGGTGGAAACACTCTGGACAATGTTGGGCACACGAATATGTATAAACCCTAGAGAGGTGTAAAGAGAATAAGGGATTGCATGGAAGGCCAAGTATAAAACAGTGTGAGAAGGGCCTTAATAGTGGGCCAGGGGGCCCAGGGAAGGGATGACAAGGCAGGTCAGCCAGGGAATATTCAGAGAGGGGTGACATTGGAGCTGAGCATTGTAGGCTGACTATCGGCTTCTTGGGCTGAAAGACGGTGAGGTCATTTCCAGGCCCCATGTTCTCTGACTTATTGTTTTAAATATGTCATTTCACACCTCAGGAGACCTTCCTGGCTCTGCATTGACTATATTATGAGTTTAAACTCCTTAGCCTGGCACTGAATCCCTCCACAAACAACCCCAACTGATGGATTATGCCATATATCACACACAATCCGTATACCTCAACCCACGGAGTTTCTGGTTCTGGTTTCACCCCATTCTTTCTCTGCAGTGCCTTCTGCCCGCTTGTTTGGCTGTAGACTGTCTCCTTTCTTTCAAGGCCTAAAGTTATCTGCAGGCACCTGAGTCAGAATGACCGTTCCCTCCTCCAGGCTCCTGCATCTACCCCGACAGAGCCCCTCTGACAACATCAATGTGCTGCCTTGTGCTGAGTATGAGGGTTGGGCACCTCTCCCTGGGACAAAGTTAAAGTCAGGGGCCTGGGGGCTCTAGCCACAACTCAGCATGTATTTCATGAGTAAATAGTGACCTTATCTTTGACTACAACAAAAAGTCACATCTCCTGCCCCGTCACTGGCGTACCTCCATCAGGCATTTTAGGGTTTTCCCACCACAGCGCAAACTGGTCTTCCAATTACTTGATTTTTGGTAGCCTCCTTCGATTTCAAATTCCCTGGGGGTGAACCAAGTTCCATCCTGGCTTAGTATACACTTCGTTGTGGTTCCTGTAAGACCGGGGTAAGTTGATCATGAAACCTCTTTGTCCTCAGAGCTCAGACACTGGCTTCCCACCACATTGGATCTGAAGCCAACCAATTTGGGCTCCAGCAGGAGAGTCTGGCCACCCCTCCCAGACTTCAGAACCCCCAAGCCCAGCCTGTAAGTTCCCTTTAAGAAGTTTTCCTGCTTTGTGCACCCATTGCTTTGAACTTCATGCAACAAAAAAGTGATCATTAGCATCAAAATCAACATTATAAAAAGTATTCCAAATCGCCTGCAAGGAAAAGCAAGTGATTTTGAGCAATGATAGGTTTTCAATTTGCTATTGAATTCTGGGGATAGAGAACAGGCCAGACTCTCTGATGGCCTTGGGTGAGTGTGGAGGCAGAAACTCTAGTTGGGCTGAAACCTCAGGTGAGGTCTCCGCTGCTCAGAATGGCATGATGGTAACATCTGTACCCAGTATCATACCATTTTTCATCTAAGTTAATGATATTATTCAGCTGAGATTTTACCATCCCTGAAATCAAGGATAGCTGACTTTAAAATCATTGTGAAATATTATTCAGAAGAAATTTTAAGTCATACATAAAAGATAGTTATAACAATATTAGGCATTAGAGAAGTGGAAATCAAACCCACAATGAGACACTTACTACATTACATGCCCTAGGATGACTGTAATAAGAAAGACAGACAATAACAAGTGTTGGTGAGAATGCAGCGAAGTTGGAGCCCTGAGACTTTGCTAGTGGGAGATAAGCTGGTGCAATACAGTGGAAAATAGTTTGGTTTTTCCTCAGTAAGTTCAACATAGAATTTCCATATAACCCAGCAAATCTACTCCTCGGTATATTCCCAAAAGAATTGAAAAAACATGTTCACACAAAAGCTTCACGTGAACGTTCAAAATAGCACTATTTATAATAGCCAAAGAGTGAGAAAACTCCAACTAATGGATAGTTAAACAGAGTATGGCATATCTATACCATGGAATATTATGCTATTTGGCAGTAAAAAGAAGGAAATATAATACATGCTACTACACGGATGAACCTTGGAAACATGCTGTGTGAAAGACCCAGTCACAGAAAGGCACATGTTACATGAGTCAGTTGGTATGAAATGCTTAGAACAGGCCAGCGTATAGGCCAGGAAATAGATCAGTGGCTGCTCAGGGCTGGGCGGTGGGGTGGGCATTGGCTGCTGAGAGACCTGGGGTTTCCTTTAGTGGGGGGCAATATGTTCCAAAATGAGACTGTGACGATGGCTGTATAATCTCGAGAACAAATAATAGGAACAAACAAAAACTCAGCAGTGAATTCTACATGTCAAATGGTGAACTGTGTGAGTTATGTCTCAGCAAAGCAATTTAAAAATTAGTTAAAATGCAAACATTTACGTCAATTGGTGCTCCTTAGCCATATTGAGAATAATCTGCTATGAAGCTCATCATAATAGACAATTATTGGAAAGCTTTATAATGTTAAAATCACAAAATATTTTATATTTATTATGTAAACTAACTCTCAAAGTCACCGTGAGGCAGGTTTTAAAGGATCCATTTCTTAGATGAGAAGTTTCAGGCTCATTCTTTGCTCAGTCACTCTTGGCAGAGCTGAGGCTGGGGCTCAGGTCATCTGATTCTAAGTTTTGTGGTCGTCTCACTACATCAAACACCCTGTCCTGGCGATGATTTCCAGGAGGGGTACAGGAGATGAAGGTGGAGGCTGATTCAAAGTAAAATATGCAATATTTTCCACCCAAAGACTGACGTTCTTGCACTTCTCTTGGTTCTTTGGGTGTCCTCATGGACACTTCCACGTGGGAGTGAGCACTTAATATGCGCCATTTCTTAAAGTATGAAAATATCATTTTAGGGATCCCTTACTTCTTTCAAGCCACAGTGGGGCCTTAGTTCCTTGAATGATGGGTAATTCTGTTACTTTTTATGATTTCTTCATATAGAAATTATAAATTAAAGTAGACCATAAAACCTACCTTGTTCCAACATGTTCATAAATAACATGCCTTTCTTCTCCCCACAGGTCACGGGAAGTATCTCAGAGCTCAAATTCACACTCCCTTCTTCGTGGTTTCTTGCCCCTGAAAGAGAAAATTCTTCATTCTGTCTCGTTTTACAATTGTACACGTGCACCTTCCTCCCACGTTGAGGTCGTTTCTATACAGACACAGGGGGACTTAGGAAACTTTATTCCTCAAATCTCCAGAATTCAAAGCTTTTCTTTCAGTGGCATTTTGAAGCATAACCAGAGTGTCTACCTGGATTTTACCTCTCAAATCTCACACAATCAATACAGTGGCACCTCGGTTTTCGAATGTGATCTGTTCTGGAGCCCGCTCGAGCTCTGAAACGTCGGAAAACTGAGGGATCCACAGCTGACAGCTGGGCCTCGGGATCTTGCCCTCAGCGGGAGCCGTGGGGCATGTTCGACCTCCGAGAGGTGCTCGGAAGCCGCAGCATTTCCGTCCAGGTTCAGTGTTCGTAAACCCAAATGTTCGCCAACGGCGCTGCTCGAACACCGAGGCACCACTGTAGTTCACCAGAGACATCAGGCATCAGTAAAACCGTCTCAGCTCCCGGCCAGCCCCCTCCCCACTCTTCCCTGGCAGCGAGACACAGCGCGTCCTGCTCTGCAGGAAGCCCCTGGCTTTGCTGTCCCGCTGCGGTGAGGCCCCGGAGACAGTCAGACTGTCCTTGTGCCTCCCCGGCTGGGGTCTGACTCAGGGAGCAGAGGGACAGTGATGGGGAACCTGGTGAGCGTGGCGTCTGCCCGCTCGTTGTGTTCTCTGCTTTGCCTCATTTCTCCCCACACCAGCTTTCCCCAGAGACAGAGGAGCTCAGGAAACTCTAGAACCACCTGCCAATAGCGCGGCCGGCTGGACCATTTGCCGTCTGACGATGGCGTGCCCTTTATGAAAAGCTACACCCAACACACTGATCATCTAACTGTGACCTCGTCTCCCCCCGTCTGCACACTTCTCCGTTGTGGCTCTTTGGTCACTGAAGGCAGCTGTCCCCAGTGAAGGCAGAAAGGGACCAGCTGCTTCCTGCATTGTGATCAGGACAAAAGTGGTGGGGATTAGTGGTATATAGGCCAACTCTGAACATCTGGATTCTGTTCTGACCACTGCTGGTAATGATGCTTCGTTCTTTCCCACTCTTCGGAGTGCCTGGAGGCTTCAGATTTAATCTGGGTTATATGTTTTTTGGAAATGCCTTTGCCCTGCTTGTATCTGACCCTTCTGGACGAAAAGTCCGAGTGACAATAGGAGATTATCGGAAAGAAAGATGAAGTTACAGCCAGTGGTTGGTACCGATTTTGTGGCACTGAAGGAAGAACAAAGATCCAGGCACCTGAGGAGGAAACACCTAGGAGGTGTGGGAATGGAGAGGCATTAATGATATCTGTCTTTCAGAACTGCCCCGAGTTATCCTTCCAGAAGGACATCGTCCTGGTCCAGCTCTTCTGTGTAGAGTGCAGACACAGATCCATGAAAACAGGGAAAGGCACATAAAGAGCATTTCAATTTATGAAGAAGTAAGTGGGTAAAAGTAATTAATGACTTTTACTACTTTCAAATATTCTAAGAACAAATATAAAATGTCCTTAAAACCTTCAGGTGGAAAAAATTTTATAAATTTTATATAAAACCTATAAACCATAAAGGAAAACCCTGACAGAGTTCACCACACAAAATTTTCAAATTTCTCTAGGACAAAATATATAATTAAAAACCTAAAAATTAACATTAAATGAGACAAAATATTAACAATATACATTTGAAAAATTTAACATATGTAATATAGTAATATACCGATTCTTGGACAGCATGGTTAAAAAATGACCAACATAACAGCAACACTGGTAAGACAGATACCAGGCATTTGTAGAGAAACAAATGACCAATAACCAGTGAAAAATGCTCAACTACACTAAAAAATTATAGTAATGCAAATGAAAACAGAAATGAAATAAAAGTATTTACAGTTAAATTGGCAAAATGTTGTGTGCATGATATACTGATTAAAATAAGGGAAATGTAACAGTATGAATATATTAACTCAGATAAATAATATAATTCTAAATGTGTTAATGCATGGACAGAAAAAATCTGGAAAGATATCCAACAACGTCTACAAAGTTCATTGATTTTAAAATTAAAAAGCAATAGAAAGATGTGAGCATTTAAAAATATATAAAGTGCTGATTTAAAAGATGTAAACTAACTATATAAAAGTAAAGTATTCTTTTTGTTTGTTTGTTTTTTGGTCTTATGAAAAGTGGTAGTTCTCTGTTGTGGCTGTAATAAATTCCCATAAACTTTGTGGCCTAAAGCAACACAAATTTTTATCTTACAGTTCTAAAGGTCAGAAATTGGACACAAGTCTCACTGGCCTAAAATCAAGTTGCCCACAGGGCTTTGTTATTTTCTGGAGGCTATCATAAGAAAGAGTCCATTTTTTACCTTTTCCAGCTCTAAGGGGTGCACACACTTCTTGACTCATTGCCTTCTGCTTTCATCTTCAAAGACAGCCACATTACATCTTTCTGATCTTTATTCCATAGGCACAGATCTCTCTCTACACAGCAGGGCAGTTTTTCTGATTTTAAGCATCTATATGATTTGATTGAGGCCACCCAGATTATCTAGGATAACCTCCCCATCCCAAGATCATTAACTTAATCACATTTCAAAGTCATTTTCTCCATGTAAAAAGACAGATTACAGGTTTTAGGGATGAGACATGGATGTCTCTGTTTCTTTTGGTATAAATTTCTTAAGAACCTTATAGGTCTCCCATGTATATCATGGGGATTTGCTCCATTAGACAAGAGGCTCCTCCACAGATCTTTCCTATATAATCACATATCATATCTATTTTTTGACTTCTGCTGAGATGGCTGAGGGGATCTTTGAGTCACATGCTTAATCTCGTCAAAGCACCTTTCTGTGACTAAATACTCTGACCTTTCACTGCTTCTGAGGCTCTAGCAAAAAGTTGTACAGCCACACTCTTGGTCATTCGACAGAGCACACTTACCTGACAGTAAATCTCATAATTTTAGCATCTTTTGCAACCTGAGTAAGTTAAGAATAAGCCAGATCATCAAGTCCTGGTTCCTTTTTGTTGAGCAGCTCTCCCCTCAGTTTATCTTGTTCCCACATTTTACTTTAAGCAGCAAAAAAACCCCAGCTGCACATTCTTTAATTAGAAAACTCGTTAGTGTATATCCAGAAAGTTCCGCCTTTCACATATCTGCAGGACAGGATTTGGCTATGCTTTCTGTCACTACATAATAAGGATCCTCCTCCTCCAGTTTCCAAAAACATGTTCCTTATTTCCTTCTGAGCCCTCCCCAGTCACACCTCTAACCTATTTGTACATATCTGTGCTGTTCAGGATGATTTATGTATTCTCTGAGACAACACAGGTGTTCTCTCCCATGTTCTCCCCTCTTTCTGAGTCCTCACTAGGTCTTCAACATCCACATTTCTACAGACTGCTCAAAGCAATCTAGGCTTTTAAAAAACATCATTTTACTTAAAATTCTTCCAGCCTCTGCCCACTGCCCAAAGCCTTTGCCACATTTTTAGGAAAGTTTTATAGCCATAACCACTTTTAAGAACCAAAGTCTGTATTATTTCCCTATTGCTTCCATAACAATTTACTATAAATAGTGGCTTAAAACAACACAAATTTATTATCTTACAATTAATGTCAGAATTCTGACACGGCCTCACTGGGCTAAAATTAAGTTTTTAGCAGACATTCCTTCCTTTCTGGAGGCTGTAAGGGACAATCTGTTCCCTTGCCTTTCCTGCTTTTTGGGTCACCCACATATCCTGTTCCCTTCCTCCGTTTTCAGAGTCAGCAATATTGCATCTGTCTGACCATTCTTCCATAGTCACTTGTCCCTCTCTCCACAGCCAAGAAAGGTTCTCCACTTTTTTTTTTTTTTTTGGTAAATATATCTTTACTGATTTCAGAGAGAGGAAGGGAGAGGGAGAGAGAGATAGAAACATTGATTGGCTGCCTCCTGCACTCCCCCTACTGGGGATCGAGCCTGCAACCCAGGCATGTGCCCTGACAGGGAATCGAATCATGATCTAGATCCTTGGTCGATGCTCAACCACTGAGCCACGCCCGGCCGGGCAAAGGTTCTCCACTTTTTAAGAGCTATGGGACCACCCAGGTAATCCAGGATAATCTCCCCCATCTTAAGGTCCCTAGTTTCATTAAATCTGCAAAGTGCGCTGGCCATGTAAGATAACAGGTTATAGATTACAGGGATTCGGACATGGCCATCTTTGAGAAGCCATCATTCTACCTACCACAATATTGTAAATAACAAGGTGATGAAACTCTGGTATTTAAAAACTCACTTCTCACATCAAAAGTAAACAACATCTCATTCACTCTTACTTCTTTTTCTCTTGGCTTTTTCTACAGTAGAGTTGTTTCCAAGACCCACAGTACCTAGAAAAAAACACAGGTGATGGTGAGAAAACAGAAATAAATAAATAGAAGCTGCAGATCTTAGGGTGATTTATATTGCAGAAGGCTTGCGTTGATACGGATGTTTCATTTCTTGTTTCTCTCTTTCTTCTAAAGAAGCTAAAAACCTACCGAATTGAGAAGTAGGAGTCCAGGATTCGCCAATATCTCAATAAGACTTTGAAAAACGCCTTAAATACCTTAGTGCTTCAGTTTAGGCAGGGATAGGAACAGGTATCCTATCCTGTCTAGGTATTAAGATTTTTGTGAGATGTCAGAGCCCTCTCAGCTGGGTCCTCAAAAAACAGTTGAACTCCTTTATCCTTCTGTTTGCATAAAAATACACTTGCATTGCTCTTGTGCCATTGACCTTTTATACCAATTAACACAGCCCACCAAATGCAAAATGTTTAATGTGTATCATCTAAAGTCCCAACAAATTAATTTTTTTATTTTAAAGAAAAAAACAAAAATATTTGAACAAAGCCTGTGTAGCAAAGAAAGCTATTCATTACATTTGCTCTTAGGTCTTTTCAGATTTCTTATCCCCTAAATAGATTTGTTTTCAATGTCCACAGGATTTGGAAGTAAAAGAAAACACACCCAGTAATCTACAACTAAAAGAGTTTTGAATCCTATGGCGCCTCACATTGTAGAAGGATTTGGAACATAAAGACGTGATGATGATCATTTCTGTCTCTTTCCATCTACAGGAAAGAGATCTCTACTAAATGAAGCAAAGGCCCACAAGCCTTTAGCTCATGTGCAAAATCAAAGACGTTTTGAAAACCAACATTTTTTTTTATAGGTTTGCAGCTAACTAATTTGGCAGTGAATTTGGACTTAGCTGCCATGAATCCATGGAATATCTTTATCACACAATTTGCTGCAGAAACATTAATATATTTGAGAATGGGGTTCTGCCACAGACACTATTGGGGTCTTTTGTAACGTATAGGATATAAACCACAGTGTCTTTCTAAAATAATAAAATATAATTTTACACGTGGCTTCAGAGGTTTTGAATAAAGTATTGTGGGTGTTTGCTAGGAGTCCAGCTGTTAGTTCTGCTTCTTCTGGTAACTTTCCATGTGATGTGTAAAGATCATTAAAAACTCATAGATACATAGAGCAAACTGATGGTTTTCCCACTGTGGAATGGGGACAACAACAGTTATCGGGCCTAACTTTTAGATTGTTGTGAACATAAATAGATATCTTTTTTGTGAAGACATCTTTAAATACTAGGTAGGCCAATGTCATGTTGGGGTTCATCTGTCAAAAGCTATAAATGGAATTTGATAGTAATAACCAGAAGCTTTTCTATCAATAATGAGAGAGTAATTAGAGCCTATTGAACTTTGAACAAGTTTGTAACCAATCTGACCAATAGCTGACTGTCCCACTTTCTCTGCTCTGTGCAGAGTAGGTGGTGAGTAGGGAACATCACTATGTGATTCACCGCACTGGAGGGTGGCATGTCAGCGAACATGGAGTAAGATGCACTGCCATCCAACTAGATTTGCCTTGTTAAGTCTCAATTTGTAGCGATTTCTTTCTTTGTAGTTTTACTTATTTTTTAATTTTTATTGAATTTATTAAGGTGACATTGGTCAATAAAATTATACAGGTTGCAGGTAATCAATTCTACAATACATCACCTGTATATTGCATTGTGTGTTCACAGCCCCAAGTCAAGTCTCCTTCCATCACCATTTCCCCCCCTTCACCCTCTTCCACCTCCCCTGCCCCACCTTCCCTCTGGTAATAACCATACTCTCATGTCTATGTATGAAGGTTTTTTTGTTTTGGGTTTTTTTATTGCTTAATTTCTTCACCCTTTTCACCCAGTCTCCCAACCCCTCTTCCCCTCTGACAGCTGTCAATATGTGCCCTGTATCTATGAGTCTGTTTCTATTTTGTTTGTTAGTTTATTTTGCTTGCAGTTTTTGAAATGGCATGAGATCAAGACAGGAATGGGCTCCTGGGCCTTGGTGTGTGTTCAGAGAACCAGGAGCTCTGAGCTCAGACTCCTGATGTCCTAGGGCCAAGCAATGGTAGTCCTTACCCTTCTTATCAGGACAGCTTCTCAGTGTACAGTCACAGGATCCTGGGGGCTTCTTATCCACACCGAATCCTGAAGACCCTTCAAGACTTCTCACTGCAGAGCAACAGGCTCCTGGGGGATTCTTATCCACACCGAATCCTGAAGACCTTTCAAGATTTCTCACTGCAGAGCCACAGGCTCCTGGGGGCTTCTTATCTGCACTAAATCCTAGAGACCCTTCAAGGCTTCTCACTGCAGAGCTACAGGCTCCTGGGGGCTTCTTATCTGCACTAAATCCTAGAGACCCTTCAAGACTTCTCACTGCAGAGCCACAGGCTCCTGGGGGCTTCTTATCTGCACTAAATCCTAGAGACCCTTCAAGGCTTCTCACTGCAGAGCCACAGGCTCCTGGGGGCTTCTTATCTGCACTAAATCCTAGAGACCCTTCAAGGCTTCTCACTGCAGAGTTACAGGCTCCTGGGCGCTTCTCCTCTGCCCTGAATCCTGAAGACCCTTCAAGACTTCTCACTGCAGAGCTACAGGCTCCTGGGCGCTTCTCCTCTGCCCTGGATCCTGAAGACCCTTCAAGACTTCTCACTGCAGAGCTACAGGCTCCTGGGCGCTTCTCCTCTGCCCTGGATCCTGAAGACCCTTCAAGACTTCTCACTGCAGAGCTACAGGCTCCTGGGCGCTTCTCCTCTGCCCTGGATCCTGAAGACCCTTCAAGACTTCTCACTGCAGAGCTACAGGCTCCTGGGCGCTTCTCCTCTGCCCTGGATCCTGAAGACCCTTCATGACTTCTCACTGCAGAGCTACAGGCTCCTGGGCGCTTCTCCTCTGCCCTGGATCCTGAAGACCCTTCAAGACTTCTCACTGCAGAGCTACAGGCTCCTGGGCGCTTCTCCTCTGCCCTGGATCCTGAAGACCCTTCATGACTTCTCACTGCAGAGCTACAGGCTCCTGGGCGCTTCTCCTCTGCCCTGGATCCTGAAGACCCTTCAAGACTTCTCACTGCAGAGCTACAGGCTCCTGGGCGCTTCTCCTCTGCCCTGGATCCTGAAGACCCTTCATGACTTCTCACTGCAGAGCTGCAGGCTCCTGGGCGCTTCTCCTCTGCCCTGGATCCTGAAGACCCTTCAAGACTTCTCACTGCAGAGCTACAGGCTCCTGGGGCCTTCTTCTCTGTACTGAATCCCGGAAAACCTTCAAGACTTGTCACTGCAGAGCTACAGGCTCCTGGGCGCTTCTGCTCTGCACTGAATCCTTGAAAACCTTCAAGACGCTCTCCTACAGAAGGAAGAAATGTTTCTTCAAGGTCTCAGTGTATGACAAAGTAACCAACAGAGTAAAACATCGGGACGCTCTGAAAACCCAGGGCTAGAATGCCCCTCTCTCAGACCTTTTATGATCTGCTTTTTTTATTTATGTAAACTGTAGGTCAGTATTTTATCCCTCACTGTCCCCTGAGCTGGGACTAAGATATTTCACCCCAGCAGGCTTCTCTGCTTTCTCTTGGCCCTGCATGTTTCGCACTGCATTCTTTCTTCTTTTCCATGTAGCTTTAGGGATTTGTGTTCACGTCTGTAATTTTATTCATTACTAGCTCTGCTTCACTCACAAGGTGGTCTTAGAAATCTGATATTGAAGAAGGCAAGTCTGTCACTTGGCTGCTTCTCAGAATGACTTTGTGAAATAGAGCCCCTCCCCTTCTAAAACCCCTTGGAATGTTTACTTGGGAAAAATAATTTAAATTCTACTGTGTTTGAGTCATTGACCTCTTTGGGCTTATTTGTCACAGCCATTAGCCTCAGTAATACAAAAGTTAAAATACAAACTATCTTAAATGAAAGCAAATTTGTATTTTACTATAAAGGACACAGCAAAGAATTAGAATGAATCTTGTGTAGAAAACACTGTTCATTTGTAACCACAAAAGGTTCCTACTTGCCCTTACTTGCTTTGCAAAGTCTCTTTCCAAAAGTAGGTGCTTTTCTTAAATTCACGGACTTTATAAAGTAAAAGGGAGAAAATAGTCATTTGTTCGCAATAGTCTTACATATTCTCTGACAACTCACACAGCAGATAAGGTTTGTGGCAATATCAGTGTTGAGATGATCAGTTTCTTCTCTTTCAGTAGAACCCGGTTCCGGTGCCTAGGGTCATAATGCTGGGCTCCTGCCCGGCTCTCCCCCCTGCTGCCCCGTGAATTTGTAAATGACCCTTGAACACTATTATCTCCAGTGTCCTCCACTATAATGCTGGGGGAGCCTAGTTACCCCATCTCCCTGCTAAGGTTGTAAAACAAAATGAACATTTATTCACAAAAACCCTGTGAAAAATCACAATGTAAGCCAATAGTGTAAGTATCATTTGAGTTTGAGAGTAGTTGGTCCAAGCCTTTTTTCCATTAATAATTAAATGTCCACACAAATTAATCTGTGAAGATGTTCTATGTTTTGTACTAATGACAATATTGCCAACAGATAGTGAAAACACTGTGCTCTCTTTGCTCTGTAGAATATAAACTTTTTAGCATTAATAGATATGACAGCATGTAGTAAAAAAGACTGTCATTTACTAGTATAGGATTGCTACATTTTCAATATAGCAATTGATTACACTCATCCAGTCAAACAACAATTTATAATGCCTCTTGCTTCCTCCTATTTTCCAATAGAGCTGAAAAAGTTAAATGCTCAAAATGGTATCCTAGATGTAATTGAATCAATGCATATAGAGAAAGTCCTTCTTTATATCCACCAGGCGTACAGAGCAGGAGTTGATTTGGTTTCCATGGTGGGGTGGCTCCGCTCCTGGACAAAATTATAATAAATGAAGCATTTCACTTGTCTCCCCTAAGGGAGTGAGCACCCTCACTGCAGGCAACAAGCCTTCACCCTGAAATTCCCCTGCAGGGAAAGCTCCCCCACCCCTTCCCTGCTGCTCCGCTCTGTCCTTCCTTCCTGTTGCTCTTCACTCTGGGGTTTTGTTTGTACTTTCCTGGAGAGGGGCCTATTTTATCTGAGAAGGCTCCAGGACCATTTTGATCACGGTGGGCACCTTACCTTCTCGGGGCTGTTAGGAACACCCCTTTGTGCCTTCTTTGTGGTGACTGTCTCCTCAGGTGGGACAATGCTTGGTCCGTGCTCTCTCTACCTGGTCCACTCTGCCAGCCCTTCATTCATTGTCCTTCACTCATGCTCGACACAGTTCTCCTCGCCTCTCCCCCATTTTCTCTATGTACTGGTATTCATCTCCCTCTGCATCTTTCTCTCTTCATACTTATTTCTCTACATCACTTTATCATCGCCCACCAGGGTCCAGCAGGGTCTAGGGCACCAGAGAGTGAGCTCCTCCTTCCACGTGCCCCAGGGGCTCCCTGCCTCACCCAGTTTGGCCCTGCTGCCCGACCTGGGTTTCCAGTCTATCCATTCTCTCTTATGTTTCCTACTTCTATACTATTTCTGCTTCTTAATTATTCTAGTGGCCAGTGAATGCTTCTCCTATATCCTGTTTGTTTTTCTTTCTCTTTTCTTCATTTCTAGCATTGCAGTTAACACCACAGTCTGCCCTGGGCCTTTGCACACAATACAGAGTCCCCCCCCACTTGCCAGTTCCCCCCCACTCATCTTACCTGCTGGCACAGACTCCTGGGCACGTTGTTCGTTTGCTTGTTGGCTTTCTAGGGCATTGTTGTTGCTACTGGTTGTTCCTGCTTCATTCGCACTTATCTCTTGTGTTTCACGGCGGTCCTCTGAGGTCCCATGTTCAGCTGTGGCTGTACCTAGACCACATTTTGTTTCATAGATATTTTATTCGTTCCCTGCATCAATCAGGGTCTAACAGGAAAATACAAAGCTCTCAGCTTTAGAGCAGAGGGAATTTAACCCAGGGCATTAGTTATGCAGCTGATGGAAGAGCTGAGAAGTCCAAATGCAGGAAGGCCACAGCCTGAAGAACAGTCAACAGAAAGCTAAGGGGGCGGAACCAAGGGGGAGCCCAGGAGCCAGGGCCACAGGGTAGGTGGAAGCTGGACCATGGCTGACCTGCCTGGTGGGAGGTGGAGTCGTGGGAGATGCAGCTGCTGCCAGAATTGCTGCCCATGGCAGGGGTGGGGAAACGCGCGGTCTTTCCCTTGCTCCCACTCGCCACTCTCTTGCTCTGTCTCCCAGCTTAGGAACCCAGCAGGAAGCAGCAGCAGGGGAGGTGACAAGCAAGACTGCAGGGGTCTGTGGCCGGAGAGAGAGGGCAGAGCAGAGCAGGAAATGATAAGGAATGAATCCCGGGGTACACCACCCAGGACCAGCGCACCCCTTCCCATGGTGAACCTCCATCGGCCCATCCCACTCTGTTCCCACCAACCTCAGTAGTGTATGAATGGACAAATATTTTTACAGTGAAGTTTAGGTTGTTTTCATTTAGTGGTATTTTTCTGAACAAAGAAATTTATGATGCTTTCTTGTGCATCATTAAGGTTGTGATGTCACGGCCCCCCACCTCCCACCACACTGAATCCCTTTTCTGCTCCTTAGTAGTCACAATTCCTTCCTCTCATCCCCTCCTATTCCCACCCGCTGCACGGGTACAGTGACTGCTAAGAGTATGGATTGATGCATGTGGGATTTTTTATGTTCTTAAATTAAGTTTTTGACCTAACGTGAGTTGTTAAAGGTATCATGGTACTTTCAAAAATCACTCTGTAAAGTATTTCTCTTTTATAAAAATGTATTACTAACGTAGAACATCCTTTCTTCAACAATGCATCCCACGGGGAGCTACGTAATAACGCCTTCCATGGTGCAGGAAGTTCCCTGAGTCTCGTCCATGTCACTCATTTCCCAAGGACAGTCATGGGACAAACACGAAACTTATTATAGACTAGTGTGCTCTAGGGTGGGGAACTTGTGTCCCTCAATGTATTTACCTGAGTCCAAGGCTAGCATTGGATTTGTCACCGCTCCGCAGCCCAGGGGATAAATGAATTCACCATGGACATCTGTGGGAAAAGAAAGCTCCACCGTTTACTGTAGTGGTTAAAAGCTTAGACTCTGGCTCAGCTTTTAATGATCAATAATGATCAGTAATGATCATTAAACGCAGTACTATTAACAAATGCATGGAACCCTGACGAAGTACCAGGCATGACTGTGAGTGCTTTTCATGACATCGCTTGTCTAAAATGCATCACCCTGGGAAGTAGGTATTTTTATCACCTTCATGTTATAGACGAAACTGAGGGACAAAGAGGGGAAGTCACTTTCCCAGAGTCACAGGGCAGAATCTGAAGCCAAGTCATAGGCCGTTGGACCTTCTGCTTTGAAATTGCCCAAAGGCAGAGGCCCATCCCCGGTCTCAGTGGCTGAACTTGCACAAATTACCAGAGTCTCTGAGCTGATTCTCTGTCCTCTGAAAAAGGAGGATGATACACCATCGCTTTAAGTGCTTGAGAAGATTAAATAAAGTATTACCTGTGTCAATATAAGGGATATGGTGACTGATCAGAACGCTACCTTTTCGTGATTAATGCCTTAAATTTATAATACTTCACATATTTTAATCACTTTAGTAAGAATGTTACAGATTAGGGAAGGTCAAGAGTTGTAACAGTGGGTATTGTTCGCCTAACTATCCATGGTTTTTTCAGAGGCCCGTCTTGTGTTTTTAGAGCAGCACCAGGCCTGCTGCGCTGGGGATGACGGGAGAGAGTTTGCACACAGTGTCCTATGTAAGGGACTTGTGTAAAGGGGCCAACAATTGAG